TTTTGAAGGGAAAACACAAGGTGCACAAGAAGATAAGGGACCCAAAAGAAAACAGGAAGAAAAACCAACAGAAGATACAGTGATACAAAATGAAGAAGACAAAGAGAAAAAAACACTGAGCAAGATTAGAATGGATTAGATTAGATTAACAGAATTGGAAGGGATTTTGTAGGTCATCTAGTCCAACCCCCACCCAAGCAGACCCTACACCATTTTTGACAGATGGCAGTCCAATCTCTTCTTGAAAACTTCCAGTGATGAAGCTCCCACAACTTCCGAAAGCAAGCTGTTCCATTGGTTGATTGTATTCACTATCATAATTTTTCTCCTTGTTTCTAGATTGAATCTCTCCTTTGAACAGTTTCCATCCATTATTCCTTATCTGGCCTTCAGGTGCTTTGGAGAATAGCTTGATCCCTTCCTCTCTGTGGCAGCTCCTCTTCACTAGACTAGTCATGCCCAGTTCCTATAAGAAACTGTAAGAAGAGGGACCAGTAAAAAAACAAAGACAGAGAGGAATCACTAGGAAACCAAACCCAAATATAATTAAGGAAGATGGAGAAAAGAAATGGGATTCTTTCAATGAATATAAATGGATTAAATTTCCCTGCTAAATGAAGAAAAATATTTACACAATTACAAAAAGTGGATACAGAAATAACTTATTTGCAAGAAACACACATAAAGAAACAACACTATAAATTTTTAGAATGCCCAAAAATTGGGAAATTATATTTTACATCACAGCAAAAAAAAAAAAAAAAGAGGAGTAGCCTTATATATTAAAGAATCATTGGATTCTAAACAGATATACTCAGATGAGGAAGCAAGAATTTTGATGGTGGAAATAATTAATCGAAAAAAGATTTTGATAATAGCAATATATGAACCAAATAATAAGCAAGAAAATTTTTACCAAACATTACGCAAGAAAACTTTGGAACTGGAATTTTAATGCAGTTGTGGACAAAACACTAGACTATAAAAGCACTAAATTAGGGAAGAAAGGAAGAAAGAGACTACCTAAGCCTTTAAAAAAAAATGATAGACATTTGTATACAAGATATCTGGAGAGAAATAAATTTGAAAATGACCCAATACACATTTTATTCAAATAGACACAAATCATGGTCTAGAATTGATATGATATGGATGTCCCCGGAACTAAGAATTTGGAGGTGGAAATGGAACTTAGTGTTTGGCACAATCTAGTAAATTTGGTTTGGAGAGGAGTAAAGAAGAACTTTAGGTGGACATTGAACCAAGCCATATTAAGAGATAAAGAATTCACAGTACTTACTCTTTATAACTGAAGTTAACAGTTGCTTTTTCGCAGGATCCAATCTGGGTCGGTCAGATAGTTTAGTCTTCCGAGCTTTCAAACTCATGCTGGAGCCCACCCTCAGACAACTTCTCTCTACGTTCACACATGCATATAGTACACAAATACACCTCAGCTTCTACATTATGGTAGAGAGAAGTTCTCTGGGATGGGAACTTGAATCCGAAAGCTTGAAAGAATAAACCTCTGATCCTGGGGACCTACCCAGATTGGATCCTGCAACATTATTCAGAGACAAGTATATATTTGCCTTTATTCATGAGTTGCTTTTTTGGCACCTCCCATAATGAATAGGATGGAGATAAGAAAAATATTTACTATGGATTAAAGAAGATGCCACTTCTATACCCATTATATATTGTTTTTTTCTCAGCTATTTTTTGTTAGTTTTAATCTTACTATTTATATTTTTTATGTTTATATTGTAATTTTTATTTCATTGTAAGTCACCAAGTGTCTTCCACATTATATCTCTTTTCTCATTAAGTGCTCATGCTATGATCCAAATGTATGCTATTATAAAAATATATTATTTGTTATTGAAAATAGTGCGTCTTCTGAGAATTTTGACTGGTAAATTGGGAGATAAATATTAAATATGTGCATTTTAAATGTAAACATAAAGGTACTCTATAGCATTGTGCTATTTTGAAGTTTGCTCAATAGTCACTTGCCATCACCTTTGTTATTAAATTAGTTTGGAGTTGATCAACTGGAAAGGAGCACTATTGGCTTGTGTGAGGTTCTCTGCATTTCAAGATAGATTGAAGAGAACAAACACAGATTAACTTTATACTCTATTGAAGGATTTGGAAAATGAAAAAAATGGTAGTGTAAAAATCATATTCATATTGTATCACTACATAGTTTAGGAAGGAATATTATTTTTTACAAAGATATAAAAATAAATTGGTATATAGACTGAAACATGTACAAGCATTGTGTATACATTTAGTCACAACATATTTACCTTTGGCTAAAAAAGGGATTAAAAGGGATAAAAAAGGGGATAAAAAAGGGAAAGAGTAGATTTTACTCCATTAGTCATTGCTGAATATAGGGGATAGTGCCATTGAGCCAGCACTGTCTGGAGATGGTTTGTTATGGTTTCTTGTGTCATGACTTTTGCAATATGGCACTCCATATTAAAAGCTGTTTTATGAGCATATTATACAGAAACAAATTTATAATTTTTTAAAATGAAAAGTTTTAATAAATTTTACAAATATTCCCCCTTCCCTCCCTCCACCCCAACCCTACCCCCCTCCAACCCTCTCTCCCCCCAACCTCCCAGAGAAAAATACAGGGTATAAACAT